GGGTTAGGGTTAGGGTTTTATTAGTTTCAGGTATATATTTTTAGTAAATTGTCACTTGGTGTGATGTCGGCTAAATGTGCTGTCGATGAAATGATTGTCGGTGAAATGATACGGATCCTGGACAAATCCAATGTGCATGATTATTAAGAATGTTTTACTTCTCAACTTGCAAGTTTTTTCTAAATCTTTTATCCAAGAAGACTGGATGGATTCTTTTCTTCCATCAACATGAAGATTATAGCGATGTATTAAACTTGGTAATATTTTATCGGTTATAATAAAGAAGATCTAAAGTAGATGATTAAATTATATAAAAAGATAAAAAGTCATGTTTAAGTATTCACTAATACTTTTTTTTTTTTTTTTTTTTTTTTAAACACTCCAAACATTAATAAGCTTTTTTTTCCATGAAAATCTAATAATTAGCGACTTCGATATATTTTTTTACTGTATATTATTATTGATTGTCTTTCATTTTTGAAGTTTTTTTTTTTTTTTTTTTTTTTACAATTTCAAGTAATTAACGAATGCGATAATATTCAAACATGTCATTACATTTTAATTTAACTCTCGGAATTATAGTTTTCGAGTTTTAAACGTAACTGATTTTTGGGTGACGTTGGTTTGTGGTAGACAGGAATAAAACTGAGTCATATATAATCGAGCTTAAAGAAAGGCAAGTCAAAGTCGAAAAGCTTTTTTATATTTCCAACCCAACTTTTTATTGATCTTACATCTGAGGTTATTCACGTTGTAAAAGTCAAAAATACCTCTCCCCGAATGTACTACCTTCCGGATATAGTACCAAATCCGATATGTACGATTCTTACGATCTTGTAAATCGGATCGATCATTTTTATTCTTTAGATAAAAATGATCTGAAGGATCGATTTTATCCTTTAGATAGAAAGGATCCAAATTATCTTTTTTATTTTTATTATTTTTCTCATATGTAAATTTGTCTATAAAAGCAACGCAAGTTGCCCTCAAATAAAAGTTCGAATAATAACTCTAAATAAGTTTCAGTGTTTGAGAACCAACATCGAAATTCGAGTAGAAGTTTGGTAGTATAAGTTCACTATTGTCAAAATATCGTTATTGTTAAATCTCGCTCCTGATATCAGCAAACAATATCAAAAACTATAGAAAAATCACTATCTTTCATCTTTAATTCCTCTTGTAAGATCAAACATATTTTAATTATATAAACACAGAATGGTTAATAAAAGGTGTCTTTTTAATGAACAGAGTGTTTTAAATAGGTAACTTACAGGTAGGTTACAGATATGACAGTATAGTGTAGAACTAATTGGGTGGTCTAATGCCTGTACAGCAGACTACTTAAAATAGACAATGACTAAAGTTGTACATGTAACTTGTTGTATACTCTTCATGTAATTACAAACAGTAGGGATTATCAATGTATAATCTCATTTGCAATTCTAATAAAATTTCTTTGGCAATGTAAGCTATCTTTAACAATAATAAAAAAAACAAAAATAAAAGGTGTCTTTACATGATAACAATGTTAGAATTTTTATATTACTAATTATAAAAGTCTTTAACTTGAACTGCAGTTAGTCTATTAAAAAGTTATATGACTGATTTTATTATAACATTATAGATATAGTGCTGGAAGTCTATACTCAATGGTTACACAAAGTATTTTTAAGGTGTTTCAATTTTTTAAATAGCTATAACTTTTTATCTAAGAAGTTTTAAAAAAATCTGATTAGTAACTTTATAGAGCTATATCAGCTTTACATATATGCTAAATATCTTTTTAAAATTTTATCACTATAAAGAGTTGATATGTTTTAAAAATTAAAATTTTATATGTAAATTTATAAATTTACATATAAAATTTTGATTTTTAAAATACATTAACTCTTTACAATAATAAAATTTTAAATAATATTTAGCACATATATAGAGCTGATATAGCTCTATAAAGTTACCAATCAGATTTTTTTAAAACTTCTTAGATAAAAAGTCATAGCCATTTAAAAATTGAAATACCTTAAAAATACTTTGTGTAACCATTGAGTATAGACTTCCAGCACCATAAATAAAGTAATTTATTAAATATAAGTATAATATATAATATAATTTAATTTCTTAATAATAAATTTATATCAAGAACTTGTAAATTTGCTTTATATAAATTTAATTCCTTCTTACTACAGAAACTATAACAGTTGTTATAAAAGCTTTGAAAAGTAGGCTCATATTTTTCTCTCCTAAAAAACAAATTTATAAATTTATATCTTTTTAGGCCTTTGAGAGTATCACAATATCTATTCTTCTGATCAAATGTTCTGACCTTATAAGCCTTACCTTCAGCTTTACAAAATTTCTTATATGCTCTTAAAATATAATTTATTTTTACTAGATTCTCATAATCATATATGTCTTCTTCAAAGGTATTGACAAACTGCTTTATTTATTCAAATTTATTACTATTTCTATGATATTTGCTATTTGGCTTAATTATAATATCTGTGATAATTAATTTAAGAAAATAGTTTACAATACTAATTAGTTAATCATAAAGGATTAGAAGAGTATATTTCAGCTAATCTTTTTTTTCTGCAAGATCATAGATTTTTTCTTTAATAATTAAGTTGTCACAAAGAATGTTAAAAGTATCCTTTGGTTTTTCTAGTTTATTTAGTAGATTAAAAGGATGTTCTATTTTTTTAATATAAAATTTTTATATTAAAAGTTTAAAGCAAAATTTAAAAAAAATCTTTTAATAATTTGTTATGAGCAGTGAATAAAATTTATTGATTATTAGAGCTTAAATGATTATAGTAATATACTAGTCATTTACTGTACCAATGCTTATTATTAAAAGTATCTTTTTAGATTTAGAAAAATTAGTATAATATCATAAGCTAATAATAAAAATAAATAGTGAATAGAAATTTTTAATTTTATCACTGTTCTTTAATCATTAAATATTTATACTGAAGACTGTTTGTAAAAAAAAAAAGTAACTTTAAGATATATCTTATCATGTATTGAATTGTTATTTTGGCTAATTAAATTCTAATATATATATTTAGAATTATTAAAAGAGTAGAGTAGAGTGAGTTAGGTTAAAATCAGATAGAGCAAGACTTGCTCTAACTCAACTTGGATTATATTTCAAATTGTTACTCTAGATATACTCTAGGTTGATACTCTGGATTATAAGAATAATTTTGCTTCAAACTACAACTAGGTTTTGCTCTAAACCACTCTAACAGAAGTAATTATTCAAATTCATAGATTATTTTGACTAGCAGTATTAGGCTTGGATATTTAACCTGAATATTAGACCATTCTTGTTTAATTCAGTCTAATCTATTAGACCAAAGGGTATTAGATATTGAATAATAGTTTAATAATGCTAATACATAATATTACATATCATGATTATCTATTGCTTTATAGAAAATTACTTATTAAGAACAAAAAAAACTACAAACAGCTAAGATCATGAAAGATCTCAAAGTCTATTATAGCTGTTCTCTCAAATTCTGGAACAACTACCTAAAGTACCTATATGATCTAAAATACCTAAAAGACCGCTAAGATATATAAGACCTTTAGGTCTTATAGCTCCTACCCCTGCCGTCGAATCTTTAGGAGATTTCGGTCTTTACAGCTGTTTTCATAAATTCTGGAACACTGTTACTATTGTAAATTGGGAGAGCGAACGTAGTGCAGAGTTTAGCTCCAATAGTTAACAGGGTAATCGATATGAATCGCAATATTATAAGGAAAATTGAGAGAGCGACTTATAATAGCGATAATTGGCTTGTGAGAACATGAGTACACTTGTGGTTTGTACAACCAAATAGTCCCAATAACGTGTATCAGCCGATTGTGTTTTAAAGATTGCAATTCTCCTCAATAGTGTTATGAAGTTAACTTTTATCATGCTATGGGAATTAACTTTTTAATTAAAAAAGCAAAATATAAGCTACATCATTAAAAAAAAAAAGTTAAAAATCACGAAGCTTTAATCAAAAAATTGATTTCGAACACGATTTGAACACGATTGGTCATAAATATCATACTTAAAATCGTGTAATTACAAAACTCGAGTTTAATTGGTTCGGGTTTCAAACAGAAACGAGCTGAGTTTGGCCAAGCAATATAACATCCCTATATTAAGCTCTCAGCATTACTACAGACTATTATTATATCCTTTATTTAATCATGACTAGATACAGTATAGTAACTTAACAATTTAAATTTAAGCAACTATGTTACTACAATTCCTTTAAAACGGACATGCGTGTTGTTTATATTAGTAAATAGTTTACTAAATTGAATGCAAACATTAAAAATTTTCCATCCAATAATTTGAATTATATTTTATAAATGCCGAAAATTCCATTATTAATGTATTACATTAAAACTCTCAAAATAAAAAAAAAAATATTTATTAAAATTTATAATTATAGGTCACAAGTTTTTAAAAGTTTATTGTTGTCATTAACTGGCTCGGGAAGATTTTGGAAATTAAGCAATTTACTTACAAATGTATCTCGGAAATTGCCTTGTAATGTTGTAAACGATTTTGGAACAGTGGAATTAGCTGCTTGAAACGCTCTTTTTATTTCCGATTTTTTATTATTCCAGTTCAAGTCATCAATTATATTATCCCAGCTTTTATTTATAATATGGCTCCAACTATCCAATTCTTTATAAATTTCTTTTGCACTTGGCCTGCTAGAAGGATTAGCATCCATACACCGGTTTGCTAACGTAATATAGCATGCTGGAGTGTCTTCAGAAAATTCTGGACGTAAACCATTGCATATTTTAATAGCTAAGCACTCATCATGCTCAATATTATAATGAGGTGGCATTCCTGTGGATATTTCAGCCATAATGATACCAAAGCTATAAATATCTGTCGCTTGCGCATACGTTCGTTTAGTTAATACTTCCGGTGCAACGTATGGTAATATTCCATATATATATTTTTCTGTGTATGTTTTTTCATTATTTCTAATTAATTCTAGACCTGCAATGTATGTTTTTAGATTATCATTAATAAATTGATTTTGTAATATATTTTTACTGTTAAGGTTGCAATGTACATATCCCGCTTTATGAATTTGTGCTAAATCTTTTGATATATCTACAAGTTGTCCTAATTTATTTTTCCAGTCGAGTTTATTGAAATGTGATTCCAAAAATTTACAAAGACTTCCTCTGTTTGCGTATTGAAACACCATCATATATTCGTTATTTGTGTTTTGTGTCATTCCATATATCTCAAGTTTACTACCCTTATTTCTAAGTCGTACATAATTTTTAAACTTGCAAATAAACAAAAACGTAAATAAATTTGATATTAAAACTGAAAACAATATGGCAAATTAAACTAAAATTAGATTAAAATTAAATTTTAATTGGAAGTTTACGCGTCGTGGTAAAAAATATTTTTCATTACCAAATATATATAATTTTAATCTGACTTCATTTTAATTTGGGATAATATAGTACAGCATACCTCTTGTAAAAAATCTTTATGACAGCTGGGCAATTTCTTTAGTGCAACAACAAATGAAGATATGCGTTGTCGGGTGTATTTGAAATCGTCATAAGAAACTATTCTTTTACAATCTAGCAATGTTGCCACGAATACAGATCCATATTCTCCTTCGTTAATGCCTTGAATTTTATCTAGTTTTTCAAAAGGGATCCAATCAATCACTTCATCATACTCTTTTGCCTCAAGTTGAAATTCTTTGATGCAATCATCAATATTTTTATTTCCACTTGTCCATCCTTGGGTCGTTCTCAAGGGATCACATGACACGCACCAGGCTTTTGAAGTGTTGTATCGGTTACAGTAAATACATTTTCCATATTTTTTATCTCTTTTGAAATTAAAGACTAATAAATATTCATTGGTAGTTGTGTCTTTAGTTAGTCCATAGACTTTAATCGATTCATCATCTGAATCAATGTATGTTTTGACCTAAGAATAACATAACATTAGATATTGATTAAAATAAATCGAAATGCTTTAAACAGCAAGAGAATAGAGCCTTAACTTACTTCACATAAAAAGTTTAACCAATTTTTAGGACCAGGCATACTTTTAAGATCTACTATACATGGTGGTGTACGCGATTGTGTACATTTTTCATTAATATTAGGATCTATTCGTGTACCATCCATCCAAGTTGCTGAAAATCCATTACTAGTCTTTTGGAAACTATCTAATTTATCGAATGAAATCCATTCAATTACTTCATCATATTCTGTCGTTTTAAGTTGAATTTTTTTTATGAAATCATCAATATTCTTATTCCCGCTTGTCCATCCTTTGGTCACCTTTTGAGGATCGCACATTAGACACCAAGCTTTTGAAGTGTTGCACCGATTACATTCGGTACATCGTCCATTAGCTTCTTTTCTCATAAAGTCAAATGTATTAACTACCATAAAATATTCATCTGTGGTTGTATTTTGAGTTAATCCATAAACAACATAATCATCGAAACGAACATAGTCATTGAACTTATATATAAATGAAGAAATTAGATGAACAAAAAATTCATAATTGTATGTTTTTTTTTAAAAAAAAAAAAATTTCTTTAGCATACTTCGCTTAAAAAATCTGATAAATTTTGAAAGTCGGGCAAAGGTTTAAGATCAACTTTACAAGGTGGTGTACGCAACTGCATATTATCTTCTGACATTTCTCTTTTACCATCTAACCAGGTTGCCAACAAACCGTAATTAATTTTTCGAAAACCATTCAACCTATCAAAAGGAATCCATTCAATCACTTCTTCATATTCCGTTGTCTTAAGCTGAAATTCTTTAATGCAGTCATCAATGTCTTTATTTCCGCTTGTCCATCCTTTAATTATTGTTTGGGGATCGCATGTTTGACACCAAGCCTCAGACGTGTTATATCTGTTACAGATTAAACATTTTCCATTGTATTCACTTCTACTGTTCTTAAATCTATCATAAACTAACATATATTCATTTGTGGTTGTATTTCGAGTTAGTCCATGTACTTCAAAGATGTTTGTTCGAATATGATCATCCAACTAAACCATATTATTAAATATATTAATTACAAAATTCTTAAAAACTTTATAAATCATAAATTTAACATACATCTTGTAAAAAAGTTAATGAATCTTGTGAATCAAGTAAGGTTTTGAGTAGAACCCCACAAGGCTCTGAGCGTGACTGTGTATAATCTTCGTCTTCATCATCCTCATTGTATGGATTCATTCGTATACCATCTAGCCAGGTTGCTGAAAACCCATCAAAAGTTTTCTGGACATTTTCTAACCTATTAAAAGGAATCCATTCAACCACATCATGATAATATTCCGCTTCAAATTGAAATTCTTTAATGCAGTCATCAACATTCTTATTTCCACTTGTCCAACCTTGGGTTACCTTCAGGGTATCACATGATTGACACCAGGCTGGTGAAGTATTAGATTGGTTGCAATTTGAGCATTCTCCATAGAAATTTTCTCTTTCACAATTAAACTTATCAAATACCGTCATAAGTTCATTGGTAGATGTGTTTCGAGTAATTCCATAAACCTTTTCTTTTTGATTGTAATTTTTTAACTAAAATTTATGAAAATGTATTCATAATTTTTTTAAACATAAAGTCATACACGTAAAAGAACAAATATTATCTTACTTCACTTAAGATATCTAATGAATCTTGAGAACCAGGTAAAGCCTTTAGCGCCACTCTACATGCTTGTGAATGTGACTGTGTTGATTTCAAATATTCATATGAAATTTTTCGTATACCATCAAGAAAGGTCGCTATAAATGCGTCGTCATCCTTTTTAATATTATCAAATCTATCAAACGGAATCCATTCGATCACCTCATCATAAGCTGCCGCTGTAAGTTGTAATTCTTTAATACATTTATCAATATATTTATTTCCACTTATCCATCTTTGTGATGCTCTCTGAGGATCGCACGCCATACACCATGCTTCTGAAGTATTGTATTGGTTGCATTTTAAGCATTTTCCATAAAACGAATCTCTTCTAAAATCTAATGCCATCGCAAATTCATTGGTAGTTGTGTTTCGAGTTAGCCCATATACTTTAAGTCCTTTACCCTTTAATTCAACATAGTCTCTAAACTGAAAATATTATAAAGATATATTTTTAATTTGAATAAATTGCAAATCTATTTACTATAAAAATAAAATTCAAATTTACTTCTCTTAAAAATCCTACTGAATTCTGAGAACCGGGAAAAATTTTAAGATCGATTGTACAAGGTAATGTACGTGACCGTGTGGACCCACCAAATACTCTTGATATTGATCGTTTGCCATCCAACCAAATTGCCGAAAGTCTATCATCATCAATTTTTTTAATATTATATAATCTACCAGAAGGAATCCATTCAACCACATCTTCATAATTATTTTCTTTAAGTTGAAATTCTTTAATACAGTCGTCAACATTCTTATCTCCACTTGTCCATCCTTGAGTTATTTTCTTAGGATCACACGATTGACACCAAGCAGGAGAAGTGTTATATCGACTACAATATGGGCATTTTTCGTTAATCTTGTTTCTTTTGGATTCAAATTCTCCATATACCATCATATATTCACTAGTGATTATATTTCGAGTTAATCCATATACTTTAAGCTCTCCACTATCTAATTGCATATAATTGTTAAACTAAAGTAGATATATTATTATTGAGTTAAAAGGCTACGAATAATAATTAAATAAAATTAAATTTTAACTTACTTCTTTTAATACATCTAATGAATTTTGTGAATTAGTTAAAATTTTAAGTCCTACTACATGCGATGGCGTATGTGACTGTTTATATTTCTTATAATCACCCGAGATTACTCTTTTACCATTTATCCAAGTTGCTGAAAAATCATTATCCATTTTACGAACATTAGATAATCTTACAAAAGGAATCCATTCAATTGTATCTTCATATTTAGTAGCTTTAAGCTGAAATTCTTTAATACAATCATCAATATTCTTATTTCCACTTGTCCATCCTTGAGCTGTTCTATAAGGATCACACGTCTGGCACCAGGCTTTCGAAGTATTGTATCGGTTACAATATGAACACTTTCCATTTCGTTCATTTCTTTTAGAATTGAATTCTTCAAATACTATCATATATTCATTTGTAGTCGTGTTTCGAGTTAGTCCATACACTTCGTACTTATTTATTAGAATGTGATTTTTAAACTTATAAAAAGCATATAACAGAATTTATATTTGATATTATTTGTGTATGGTCATACGCAGCAAATAGTAAATTAACCTACTTCACTTTTAAGATCTGTTGAATTTTGAGAGTTAGCTAAAGCCTTAAGATCAACACCACATGATGGTGTACGTGACTGTGTAGATTTCTCATGCTCGCCAGAAATTTTCCTTTTGCCATCTAACCAGGACGCTGAGAATCCATTATATGTCTTTTGTACGTTATTTAATCTGTCAAAAGGAATCCATTCAATTATCTTCTCATATTTTGTTGTTTTAAGTTGAAATTCTTTAATGCAATCATCAATATCCTCATTTCCACTTGTCCATCCTTCAGTTATCCTTTGTGGGTCACACGTCTGGCACCAAGCAGGTGATGTGTTATGCCGGCCACAATGTAAACATGTTCCATTCACCTTATTTCGTTTAGAATGAACTTCAAATACTATCAAATATTCGTTAGTAGTCGTGTTTTGAGTCAGTCCATATATTTTATGTTCACTACTCTCTAATTGTACATAGTTTTTGAACTATTAAATATAAAAGGTATATAAATACAAATTTACATTTAGATTATAACGTGATACATAGTATATTAACCTACTTCAATTAAGAAATCTAACGAATATGGCGAAGTGGGTAGATTTTTGAGCATCACTCCACAAGATTGTAAACGTGATTGTGTATTATTCCGACCTTCGCCTGAGATTTTTCGAACGCTACCCAGCCAAGTTGCTGAAAACCCATCACAAATTTTTTGAATGTTTGTCAATCTATCAAAAGGAATCCACACAATAACTTCCTCATACTTTGTTGCATTAAGTTGAAATTCTCTGATACAGTCGTCAACACTTTTATTTCCGCTTGTCCATCCATGAGCTATTCTCAGAGGATCACATGATTGACACCAAGCTGGGGAAGTGTTAAATCGGTTACAATATGCACAAACTCTAAATTTACTATTTCTTTTATGACTAAATTCATCAAATACTATCATATACTCTTTAGTTGTTGTGTCTCGAGTTAGCCCAAATGTTTTAAAACTTTCTATTTGAACATGGGCTTTAAACTGAAAATATTAAGAAGATATATTATAAATTAAAAGTTTTACAAAACAAAATTAAATTCAACTTACTTCTCTTAAAAAATCCAATGAATTTTGAGAATTATTAGATAAAGTTTTAAATGAAACTCTACAAGATTGTAGGCGTGATTGTTTGCAATT